AGAGAGTATAAGAGAGTAGAGTGAGAGGGAGAGAGAGAATGTGGGAGAAAAAGGGAGAGTGTGCATGACAGGAGGAGAAAAGGAAAAAATGAGGTGGAGAGTGAAGGAGAGAGGGAGAGATACAGGGAACGACAAAGAGAGAGAAAGAGAATGTGGGAGAGTGTGAGAGACGGAGAGAGAGTAAGAATGAGAGAAAAGGGGAGGGAGAGGGAAAAATAGATGGAGAGAAGGAGGGAATGTGAGACATGAGTGAGAAATGTAATACAGAGGGAGAGAGAATGAGAGTGAGAGAGAAAGACAGGAGAGAACAAGACCGACAGAATGAGAAACAGAAAGAGAGAAAGAAAAAGAAGTAGAGAGAGAAGGAGAGGAAGAGAGTGAGAAAACTGAGTAATAGAGTGTAAAGGACGAGAAAAAGAAGAAAGAGGGAGAGAAAGAGAACAACAGGAGGAAGAAAGAAGGTACGAGAGGATTGGCAAGGAGACGAGGGCGGAGAAACAGTGGAAAGAGTAAGAACAGGAAAAAAGGGAGCTGTAGGAAAAGAGTAGGAGAGAAAGAGCAAAATGCAGGGACAGACAGAGAAGGCAGGAGAGAGAGAGGAAAGAGGAAAAAGAGAAAAGGAGTGAAGACAGCAATAGAGGAGCAAAGGAAGAGGAGAGGAAGAAGGAGGGAAACAAACATGGGAAAAGAGAAGGAAAGGTAAAAGGTAAAGAGTAGGATGAAGAGAGTGGGAGAGAAGGAAAACTAGACAGCTAGAGAGTGAGTAAAAGAGGAGAAGAGAGAGGGAGAGGTGGGGAAGGATGGAGACAAAGCGTCAGAGTAGTGAAAGAGAAGAATGAGAAATAAAGAGAAACAGTGAGATTTTAGTGAGTTGAACTCAGTAACGTCCAGCTTTGATCTGTTTTCAGTGTTTAATGTAGTCTGACCACAGACAGCTAACGGCCTCTCCTCTCCTCTCCTCCCATCTCTCCCCTCTCCTGTCCTCTCTTCCCCTCTCCTCTTCCCCTCCTGTCTCCTCTCCTCCCCTTCTCTCTCCTCCATCTCCTGGTCTCTCCTCTCTTCTCCTTCCCTCTCCTCTTCTCTCTTATCCTGTCCTGTCCTCCCCACTTCTCCCCTCTCTTCTCCTCTTCTCTCTGATCCTATCCTGTCCTCCCCCCTTCTCCCCTCTGCACTCCTCCAATCTCCTCTCCTCCCCTCTTCTCCAATCTCATCTCTTCTCATCTCCTTTCCTCTCATCTCATCCCCTCTCCCTCTCTTCTCACTCCCTCTGCTCCCCTTTCCTCTCCTCTCATCTCATCTCCTCTCCTCCCATCCCCCCCTCTTCTGTCCTCTCCTCTCATCTCATTCCCTCTCCTTTCCTCTCATCTCATCTCCCCTTTCCTGCTATCCCTCTCCTCTCCTCACCTCCCCTCTGCTCCCGTTACCTCTCCTCAGGCCTGCGCTACATATCTGACCACAATATGTACACGCAAGACTGAGTGAGCTATATTTATAGTGCGTGTAAGAAAGGGAACGAGGGAAAGAGAGAGAGAGAGAGAGAGAGAGGGAAGGAGGAGAGGTATGTGGTCTAATTAAATGTGTTGGAGAGCAGCATGTATGTTAGTTATACAGGGATCAGTGTAAGGCTGAGCGGCTGGACAGCGATAGTGCACGTGAGGGACAGTACACACACTGAAACTGCACACGCTGCAAACTGCACCTGTAATGAACAGCATTCTTCATGTCTCTGAGCTTGTAAAGCACCATTTTTCCTACAAATTATGGCTCCACGCCTGTAATCAGACACCTTTACTTATTCATGTGTGCTTACAATAGTGTAAATTCTGCACTGTCTCGTTTAAAGTGACGGTTTGGTGAAACAGCCCCCCCAACTCAGATATGGTGAATCAGCCGAGACATGTTCGCTTCTTTAGTTCTGAGCTATGAGGCCGAAGTAGCTACAGCAGGGACTTCAGAGGTGGGCGAGCCCTGTTTTTTCCATGGTGATGGGATGAAAATGTGATTAAAACTAATCTGTTTGCGTCTTAATGGCTGTTTTTAGTAACCATTTAGTAAGTTTTGGCATTAAAAATGACATCAAAATTCTCTTTAAAGTCTTTAAACTAGCCAAACAAACTGTACCAAACAATTTTGCCACCCATTTGACATCAAGAACCCTTTCGTCCTTTTAACAGAAGTGTTCAGACCAGCTGGCTCCTGTTTTTAAGAGTCTGCTGGCAGTAAAACACTACAGTTCATACACTCTCAGAAATAAAGGTACTAATCTGTCACTGGGGCAGTTTCTCTCATGGTACCCTCAAGGGTCCATCTCAGTACCTTTAGTCAGGGAACATAACTGAACCATAATCCACTGAAATGATATGTTCTAAGCTGTACTGACTCCACACACCCCGTCTCGTCTCCAGGCTTTTATTTTACTGTTCTGTTTTAAATCATTCGGTTATGTAAAGGTACAAATACAAACTTTTACCTGGAAAAACTTATTTAAGGTTCACAATCA